AAATGGAGGGGGTGCCACTGGGCCTTCAAATGAAAGACGAGAGCGTGGGAGGAGACCAGACAAAAGTGCCCATGATCGTCGCCACATAAAAGAGAAGGTCTCGGTCACTCTGGCTGCCAAGTTAAAAATAGAGCGGCAGAGGAGAAAGCGTCATGGCCCAGTATGGGTAACGAGAGGGTTCGAAAAGATTAAAGACTGACTGAAGGGCCCCCCAACAGTTGACACAGGTCGAAGTCAGGACGGGTCAGGAACAGACAGGACGGGTTAGGATAGGACGGGAAGCCAGAGCTGGAACTGAACGGGCGGAACGACAAGCAATGTTGTCTTGTGCAGTAGAGAGAGATATGGGGGTGAGATGGGGGGGACAATGGACGGGGGAGCCGTTGCTCCAGGCCAGTTCGTCCGTTCAATTTGGGCTGGTAATGGTAAAGTGAGTGGTAGGGCTCCCGCTTCCTCTCTTTCTCCCAGTCTCTCTCTCTCTCTTCCTTCGCGGCCTGTCTGTCTCTTTCGCACTCTCTCTCTTGGTCGAGAAAGACGAAGACCACTTTCCGGTGTTGAACTGGCATTGGTCGGCGGTCGCCAAGTTCCTCCGTGTGGTGAAAGCTGCAGGCAAAAGTTCCTTCGCGTAATTTCCTCAACAAGGAAAGCGAGCGTGGCACATGGGTAGAACAAGCCCGTATCCCATCCCTTCGGGTCTCTCTTTTTCAGTGATAAGAGGGCCTCCCAGCAGCCAGAACCGTAGCTAGGTCCGTGGAGCTGCGCGAAGGGAGGGGGTAAAGAAGCGTTACATAGCCAATGGCTGTTCAGACGGTCTGGCAGTCCGGGCGTCTGCTAAACGAATGGGGAACCATTCACAACGCCTTTTGCTGGTCGGAGCGGGCGCTGGCTACCAATTCGACCGAGAGAAGCAAGACGAGTTGGGGGGAACCCTCGATGGCGGATGGGGGGCCTGCCTTTGCTATCGAAGCTGGGGGCAAGGCGGTTCGTCCTTTGATTGACTCTGTGGGTACATGCGCACTCCCTCTGTCCCTCACGCTCGCCCTACTGTGTGTGTGGGTGTGGGTGTGCCTCTCTCCAGCCTCCGCGCCCAGGAGAGCCCTGGGATTTCGTCCAATGTGCCCGACATGTCGACATTGATACCATGGGCCTGTGCGAAAGTTGTCGACGGGTAGGCGACCAATTCCAATTTCCAGGGTGGCCAGGAGGCGGGGAATAGGCACAATGGTGCCACCACTGTTCTAGATTAAGAAGGTGAAAGAGCGTCCTGGTCGGCCTAAAAGACGCCAGCGACCGAGTCCTGACTCAGACCACCAATCATCGTGCCTGTCTGTAGGTATCCTATCAACTAGGCCCTCCCCCTTTTCGGAAAGGCCGTGGTGAGAGAGCCAGAGAGACTAAGAGACAGCGTCGCGAACTGTCACCAACCAAGCATCAGGTTCCAACCGGGGAGCCCTCCGACATCTCCCTCGGCCCAGGTCTACATCGCAGATGAGATTCAAAGAGCGCCGCCGTCCGCCGTCAACCATCATGGAGGATGGACGGCTTGCTGCTCGCTTTTGGCCCTCCCCTCGTTAGCCAAGCAACCAAGCCATCGGCCTGGGAGGGAAAAGCTGGGGGAGCTGCCGCAGGCAGTGGACTAACGCCGTAGAAGCATGGTGCATGTTCCAACGGCCTTCCACCAAGCCAACCTGGCACTCCTGGTTCCATCCGATAAGCCATTTGGTGAGCACGGCCAATGGTCAAGGTACTGTCAGAGACACACCCGAACAGCGCCGCTCCAAACTAACCCGTCTGGTCGTTAAAAGGTCGCGATCGCAGGTTTTCCATTTCAGCTACCTTCAAGGGGCGGGCGGCGGGACTGGGCCAAGGAACGGACTGGGCCAAGGAACGGACTGGGGGCGAGTTTCCGCGGAATGGCCGCAAGACAAAGCAGATCTCTGTCTAAGGACGCCACGATTCAGACTCGAGTGCCATCTTTTAATTGGAAATTGCCATGGCATTGGGCGGCTCCTGTGGGCACTGCCGAGCGGCGGTCAACATGCTTTCGGCCGGTTGCACCGCAGGCTCGTCCGTGCTGTCCTGTCAAAGCCGAGGCGTGGCTAGTGGCTGACTTTGGTGGCTGCTCTCATTCTCGTCCATCATGGGGCATAGCGTTGGGCGTCTTCAGCCTCTTTGCAGACCACAGAAAATCCGCTGAAAGCAGCGAGAGAAGTACAGCGTAACAAATGGTAAGTGAACGGTGAGTGGGTGACAAGCCCCGAGATATGAACCGCAAGTTGCGAGATGCCGAAAACATTTTCCAACGGAACAAGAGATAATAGGTACCGGCTAATGTTCTCGAATTTTCGACCCCAATATCCGCGGAGCCAAGGAGATCCCTGCAGTGCGTCTCACTAGCACGAACAGCCGGCGACGGGCTCCTTGCTGACCTAAAATGAAGGTGACCTGACATGAAATGTCAGTTAATACGCACTAAGTAGCAGTTTGTTGTCCGAGCTGCGGCTTTGAGACTACAGCGGACCTGGGCTAGCCAGAGGTGGTCTTTAGCATAACGCTCATCGGGCAGCTCATAAGAGAGAAAGTCGTCAAGAGCTGACGCTAAGCGGCATGCTCCCTCTTTACGTGGGTCCCGACGGCGAGGCGAACAGACGCCGACGGGTCCACACATGAGAACACTCCATCAAGTAGGCCCGAGGAGTCGGCAATGTTAATGTAAAGTGACGCGAGCCAAAGCACGACTTCTGGAGTCCAAAGTCGTGCTTAAAGTCGTGCTCCAGCAAAGATCTACCCTGGAATTGTTGATGGCTGGGTCCATGGCCCGGGGCACGCGAGCCGAGTGGCTCTGAGGGTTCGTGATCGCCATTGGAGTCATCCACTCCTCGGAAGAGGCCGATTGTTTTTTTTTTCAACAAGCATAGACATCAAGTTGGGACGCGGTTGTAGTATCTGGATGGGACAATAAAGATGTTGCCTTAGCTGTCGATGACGCGCTTCGGATCGATTCGAATGCGCATGTTAGGATGTGGGTGTGGCAGCCATCAGGCGACGAGACAGCTTTTTGGGTTATCTTTCGGTGCCATCGAATCAGCTCAGCTCACACTGCGGACTAGTAGGCTGCTGACTGACAGACCTGTTGTGCCATGATAAGTCGGGGTATTTGGAAATGCGAACCTTTTTTCCAAATACTTGGGTCCTGGTCGTTTGGTTGATAAGGAACTACAAAGTTCCACCATGTTTGCTTTGGGAAGGTCGAACAGGGTACTTCGGTCAGGTATCCGTAGCTGTTGGTTCTCAAAACCTATGCTAACCGATCGGGCAGTCTTTTTCTGCTGTGCACTCCTCACTCACCGAGGTTGCCGGTAATATCGACGTAAGTTGATGCGGCATTTCATCTAGCTCGAGAAGGGTTGTTCGCAGCGGCGACGAGCCTGGAGATAACTCTAAAACTTGGCGTCTGGGTCGGTACGAGAAGAACAGGCTTTCTTGGACGAGTAAGCCGAGCCGCAGGGCGGGTGTAAGCAGTCAATAGAAGGACGCGAGACGGCACGATGCAAAGCAACCCCAAGCTTACTCCGCGCCAACGAACCACGAGAGCATCCGTGTTTGCATGGACCTGAAAGGTGCTGTAGGCGAAGTCTTTATGTGGATTCCATTGTGATTGTCGATCTTGTCCATCTGCTGCAGCTGAAGCATGGGATCTGGGGTCTTGGTCAGCTCATAGCTTAGTGATACTTTCTAGCCGACGCAGACGCCTAATGCATGGTATTGCTAGTCCAATGTATCGAAAGAGGAGCAACGTGATGTTGGTGTCAGTTGACACAGATAAGAACAGGGCAAAGCACTTGACCTTACCTGATATCCCAGAAATGTCAAGATGTTCAGCGAGGCAGCGGTGTATCCTAGGTCGAGGCATCAAGATCCGCAGAGTACATTTTCTTCTGTTGCTATTCAGGCTTGGTCAAGCCAAGCTTTGATACGGCTGAGATCATCGTCTACTCTCCTGATGACGCTGGGTGATGTGGACAAGAATCTTGCGTCGTCTGCAAATCTCTATACCAAAACAGAATGACTGTTGTCTAGGGACGAACGATATGCCTTGTTGTAGTCAACAGTGGCAAGCAGTCATTGGTCCGAGAGAGCCTCGATGACTCCAGATTGGGTTCATTGCTCCGCGATTGCGTGGCACGCGTGGCTATTGACGAACGAGAGGCCGTGAGAGGTATTCGAAACGTCGTCTGGCGGCACATGGTAAGCGCAGGGTCAAAAGTTCCGGGGATAGGCGTTTGGGGTCTTGTTATGGTGCAAATGGTCAGCACATCGGTTACTTTGCAAACCAACGCCAGGCATGTCAGGCGGAAGGACGCCGGGAAGAGGCGAGGATAACAAGGCGTGGGGGTCGGCGTGTCGTTGACAAAGAGACTGAAGTTGGATCATGGATGAAGCTCAACAAGGTAGGGGTCAGGACTCAGGAGGGTGGAGGGCTGACGATGGATGGATCCTGAAAGGCGACGAGGACGTCGAAAGAATGAAACCTGAGGTGACAACTGAGAAGAAGGCAGGTAGCCTTCGATGGCGTTCCATGATTGTTCTTGAGATGGAAGGAGCAACGAGACATATGTTCCGGGGAAGGTACCCTGCCTCCACAAGGGAATGGCGGAAAGAGGAAGGAAGTAATGGCAAGTGGATATACCTGTAGCTCCCTTCAATGTGCTCCTGTCCATGTATTCGTGATAGATCAGCCCTTGGCATCATGGCATGTACTTTGCTTCACTTTGTGTCTTCGGTAGTCCATATTCGCTCTGAGGCATCATCTGTTATCATTTGTAGACGTGAAATCCTAATGCCCAGCCAAGACGCCAGGGCTTTCTATCATCTTTGACCACGCAGTCACAGAGCAAACGCCTCGTCAACGTAGACAACTGGGCCAAACTCTACCCATAGCTACTGTTGGCACTCGTTCCCATGCCATCGAAAGGCATCTTTCAGACCCCCCTCTTTGCTTACTTGGAAAAGCCGTCACGGATATCAACAAATCGCAGGTATCTATCCTTGGCCCATCGGCGCGATCTCTTGCCGAACATAATCATCGGCAGGCTCAACCCCATGATGACGAAGCTGAGAACCCCAAGGGCGATGAAGCAGTTCTCCATACCCGAGTCCAGCCAGTAGCTCGCCACAAAGGTGAAGAGCATGGCAATTGTGTTGTTGATGACGGCCACACCTACCATGCCTTCCAATACCATTTCACTGCGTTGTCCTGTCAGCCACTGCTCTGCCCATCATACCGTCAACTCTGAGAGAGCAAAACTTACGGGAAAGAATCGGCAAGATACGCCAAGCTCAAGTCTCCGGCACAACCGTACCCGAAACCGATAAAGCCCAATCCAACATACGGAAGAGGCCAGTCCCAGCCTCGCGCGCTCCCGATGCCGAAAAGCCACATGCCCGTCGGGAAGATCACCGTGCAGAGCGCCATCAGATACAGCCGAAACTCAGACTCCATGACGCCCTTATTCCGCTTGATCATCCACAGCATGAACTGATCACTTCCGTAACCACCGTAGATACATCCGATCAAACTTCCAATCAGCGTTGGCAGGTTCATGTTACCCACGGCAGCCGCAGAGTAGTTCCACGGCGGGCCATACCACCAGTCCTCTTGGACCGTCAGGTAAAACGTCAAGCAGATGTTCTGCAGACCCCACTGGAGGCCCGCGTACCATACCGCCGGGAAAGTAAAGACTCGGAGGGTGTGCCAGAGGCGGAAGAGATACTGCTTGAATCCTGTGCCCTGGAGATTCGGCGCCGGCGTGATGATGCGGATGCGGTCCCAGTACGTCTTGCGACGGGAGTAGGAGAAGGCCATGCGGTCCCGCGCGGTAGTCGAGACCATGGATCCGTGGTCGGTGCCCGTCGTCGTCTCAGCGAGATGCGGGGTCTGCTGCTTCTCAGTGACGGAAGCGTCTTGGCCCGAAGTTGGGTCTCTTTCAATGCTGACGGAGTTTCTGGCTGATGCCTGCGCCGAGGTCTTCTCTGGCACAACAGTGGCGGCAGTTCGGTTGCCGTCGTCTACGGGGTAGCGTTCGCCGTTGCCGGTAAGATAGCGATCTCGGTTGAATTCCGTCTCTTCGAGGCCAAAGTAGATGACGATCAGACTGATGCCGCAGATGATGGTGCCCACGTAGCCGATCCACCGCCAGCCGAGACCGCTTGATACGTATGCGCCGATGAGTGGCCTGCTTGCGTTTAGCAATCACATGTCCTCGCATCATACCCGCCAGTCAGAGGACAAACTCACCCAAGGTAGGTTCCAATGGCAGTTGCAAAGGTGTAAATACCAAGCACACTGCCAGTCTGGTGTTCAAACCAGATATCGAGAAGCGACAACTGCACAGTAGCCTCGCCGACAGACTCAGCAGCACCAACAAACAGCTGCGACCAAACCACGCCGCCAACATTGGTGATGCGAGCATACCAGATGAGACCACCAATGTTGACAACCATGGAGATCAGATACCCCAGCCGGCGGCCGTACAAGTGCACCAACGGCGAACTCAGCAGGGTCCAGTACCCAATCGCAATGAACAGCACACCGGCGCCGGTGTTGAAGGCGTCATAGCTGATTCCGTACTCCTCGTTCACGCCGTCCGCGCCGGAACCCGCATTATTGGAGGTGGCAGCTGTGAGACCGACAATGTATAGCACAAGGCACGAGTGCCAGATCTTGCGGGCCAGTGACCATCGCAGTGGATCATTGGGGCTCTCGGTGGGCTGAGGCACAAGGACGATGTCGCCGTGCTTCAGGAGCGAGGCGTCGCCCGGTAAATTGTTGCCGTTCTCATCGTAGAGTCGTCGCGTGCCCGGAATGACTTCGGGTGCTGACGTTGGTGTTGTGATTTGTGGAGCGGCCATCGGGCAGTTGAGAATAAACACAACTGACGTTGCTTATCGCTTAAAGTGTAAGTTTTTGGTCGTGTGCTGTGCGGTTCTTAGTCGCGTGTGCGGTGGGGACTTCAGCCCTTTGGACGACTGGGTATTCGGTATGTGTGTATAATCACTTCTTCTCGTGAAGTTCGACGCCTCCAGCGTCGTTATTGCTAGCAGGGAAGCATTCCGTCTTTGAACAGTTATGGAAAAGGGAGGGAAAAGAAGGAAGATCTCTGAGCGCGTCGCACTGAAAAGAGATGGAGAGAGACTGAATCAATAACAGATAAAACTCTTATCTCTAGCAGCAAAAAAGATCGCCTGAGTGCAAGTTTTGACCTGAGATGGGGCGGGCCGACGGGACGTCATAATCCTTGGAACCAATTGAAATTGGTGCCCAATCATCAAATGGTGGGCCATCGAGATGTTCGCGTACTCCGTAAGGCAAGGTACCCGTAACGTTGTAATGTGGTAGCGGCATCCGCAACGGTCTTGTTGCCGTCCCATTTCCGATGTATCATATCAGCGCGGTCTATTCCTTGTCCTGGCAGTCCTGCTAGTAATGGCTTCGGCGGTTGACGCAGTTTTGTTGGTTTTCCGCGGCTCCAGACTTGGGTGTAGAACGCTTGTGGTCAAAGACCGTTTTGAGGCTCTTTTAGACTCGAGAGTAAATGTTGCTGAAAATTTCGACATGCCAAGCCCAGAAGACGGGGCATATGCCGCTTTGTTCACATCCCGCCGGTTAGTGCCGTGAAGAGGTTCGGCCTCTTCTCGGTTTGTGTAGAATTCAACATAAGATAGCTAACATCGGCGTAAGGAGACTTGTCAGCTTTCGAACGGCAGACGGTAGAGCATCGACTCAACGTCAAGCAAAACGACTGTTTGTAAGTGAAAATAGACTGCCTTGCTCAGCCAAATTTAGCATTTGCCAGTTCGTTTCATTGGCAGGACGGCAGGCGCAAAAGTTATGCTTAGCTCATCAAGCTACTTTCTAGTGCAAATGTCGTGTCTAGCCTGTGACGCTGTCAGCGGTAGTTCAATGACGGAAGACGACACACACTTAGGCAAATCTTGGACTCGGCAGACGTTAGCAGAGGTGCAAGAATGCCGTGATAAGAACGGTCGAGAATGTGGCGGTGCCAAAAGGTGGCTGTGGTGGCGTAAGCTGCAGCCACACTTGGAACACACCACAGGTGATCTGCAATGACTTTTGTCCTCTTGAGCGAATGGAAGTGACACGACAAGGCAACGAGATAAGTTGAGTTGTTATGATTTACGCGGAGACACACTGCATTGCATCTTCTCGGCTGTGCAGGTCCAAGCCTCGTAAGGCGTCGGTTTGCAAAGCCGGGATGCCAATCAAGCATCCTCAGTCACTGGTCAGTTCCCGCCGGCGATCGGCCACCGGAGCCGGGGCTTCTCCAGATCCCAACGGGGCCAACTGATCTTGGATGGCTAGCCAATGTAACGATATTCGCGGCCTCGGCCACGTCTGTTGTCGGTCTGGGCTTTTGAGAGCTGCATGAAGTGACGTTAGCATCCATCTAGGGGAGGGCTATCGAAAAGCAAACCGTGGGGCAATCGCAAAGAAAGCAGCGGACGGGCGGGAACTCGGGCGTTCCACCTCCTTCCCAAGATCCGCCCGGGGGAGCTCTTTCTCCGGGATTTTTTGAAGGAGGAGCCCAGATGGGGGGAATCACGAGCTACCATTGGGTCAATCAGTGCTTGGACCCACCTCGGCCCGTGACCCCATTCGTCACGTGGGAGTTGACGTAAGTCATAATGACAGAAAAGGGACTTTCACCTCAGAAACTGGGGGCTATGGCACTCTCGGGCACTTAGGGGAAAGTGTTGGCTGAGGTGCAGTTGCCTGCAGAGAAACAGTCTGGAAAGAGCAGTGAGGCAGGAGTGGCAGGTCAGCGCCGCATTGAGCTGTGTTGGTGGGTACGTACCTCTTAAAGTGGCCGAGGTGCCCCATGCCCCCAACGGCCACCCGCGTCAACCTTGGAATGCCGTAAGTGCACCTTACGCAAGGAAGCTGGGCGAACCAGGAGTGGCACTTGCACTCGTGGACTCGTGGGACCATCTAGAGCTCCTTGCTCATCGCTTCAAAACGCGGCCCCGTCGCCTCTCACCCCATCAACCTACCCATTCGTCTCCGGAGCTGCGCACTTCGTACCAAATCCCAAATTCGCATCCCAAATACGCGGACACTACCCGAGATTCGAGAAATGGCGACCCCTGATCTGCGACCCTGAATACCACCTCCTTATCCCACTTCGAGGCGCCCAATAAACTAAGCTTCTTCCCGCTGCCCCGTCTGATCCGGATGCGATCCCGTTGAACACAGTCGCCGCTTGCATCTCGCAGCTACATCCCATCCGCACCGCGCGGTGACTGCTCCTGCGAATACCACCGACCACCACCGAATGCACACAACTGAACCAACAGATTGATAGCTCATCTGGCAATCAACAAGACCGTCACTCTCATCCTCCCCTTAAATCCCCCGAGATCATGGCATCTACAGCTGCCTCCCCCAACGGCGGGGCTCACGACCACGTCCTGCGGCCGAGGCCGAGGAAGCCACAACATTCTCAGTTGACGAGAACACAGAGCAATACTTCCGTCGGCGAGATGAATGGCATGACACCTCTATCAGAGACTGGCCAGACCAGCGGCACTACTAGGTAGATACACTTCTTCCCCACGCAAGCTCACCACTTTCGTCACACACCAGCGCTAACGTTAATCTCGTCACAGTGGCCGCTCGACACCAGTCCCTCACGATGCCCTCCCCTCCGTCAAGAGCATGTCCTCGGCAAAAAAGCAAGCCCGTGCTGAACAACGACGCCGTATCTTCCCCACGATCGAGTTCGCGAGCCGCGTTTCCCACTTTGATCCCAACTCCGACTACCGCGACTTCCATGGCTTCTTCAACCTCTTTTGGATCGGCCTTGCCATCATGGCCATCACCACCATGCTGCGCAACATCAAGGATACTGGATACCCCATGAGAGTCCAGATTTGGACTCTCTTCACAATCAAGATTTGGCATTTGGCCATTGCAGACTTCCTCATGGTGGCGAGCACCCTGGTGTCACTACCCCTCCATCGCCTGTGGCGCTCTGCCCCCGCCAACGGAGCCCTGACATGGAAGAATGGCGGCATGGCTGTCCAGAGCATCTATCAAGTCGTATGGCTTGCTTTCTGGATTGCCATCCCCTTTGTGCTCGACTGGACATGGACCGCACAGGTCTTCCTGTTGCTACACACCATGGTCCTCCTGATGAAAACGCACAGCTGGGCGTTTTACAATGGCCACCTGAGCGAGACGGAGAAGCGTCTCTACGCTCTTGACAACCCCTCGACCGCCTCAAAAGACCCTGTCTACCTGTACCCAACACCCGACAACCCGATGGGTACCGTAAGCAGCCCCAAAACACGCGATTTCAAGGCCAAGTCAGAGGCCACAGGCACGTCAGACACGGACTCGACCTCGGACGAGATCGAGCAGCTCCGCGAGGATCTGGCCCAGGAGCTCACCTCGCCCATGGGAAACCTCGCATACCCTCGCAACCTGACCTGGTCCAACTATTTCGACTATCTCCTGTGTCCCACGCTATGCTACGAGCTCGAGTACCCCCGGACAGCCCGCATCGACTGGCAGAACCTCATTTCCAAGATCATCGCCGTCTTTGGCTGCATTTCCCTCCTCACGGTCATCTCTGAGGAGTTCATCCTACCCATTCTCAGCGACGCCTCCGTCCGCTTGAGCACAGTCCCGAAGCCGCCCGTCTCCGAGGCCCTCCTCATCCTAGCAGAGAGCGTCTCCTGGCTCCTCTTCCCTTTCATGCTGACCTTCCTTCTTGTCTTCCTTGTCATCTTCGAGTACGCCCTCGGCGCCTTTGCCGAAATCACGCACTTTGCGGATCGTCACTTCTACTCTGACTGGTGGAACTCAACTGACTGGATGGAGTTTTCTCGCGAGTGGAACATCCCTGTCTACAGCTTCCTGCGCCGTCACGTGTACAGTGCCAGTCGTCCCTATATCGGTCGCCTTCCGGCCACCGTCATTACCTTCTTGATCTCCGCCATAGGTCACGAAATCGTCATGGCTTGCATCACCAAGAAGCTTCGCGGCTATGGCTTCATCTGTCAAATGCTGCAGCTGCCCATCGTCGTGTTGCAGCGCACAAAGTGGGTTCGCGGCAAGGAGACGCTAAACAACGTGTGCTTTTGGTGTTCCATGGTCATGGGCCTGAGCATGGTAAGTCATCCGGCTTCCTTTCGATATGGAGCAATAGCTAATGATTGGCAGATTTGTGCTCTCTACGTCTTGGTCTAGGACCTCGACAAAGCAGTCCGTGCCGCATCTTATTATTTGAGTCACGCATAACCTCTTCATCTCCCAAATGTCGCATTGCCGAAAAGACGGTTTAGATGAGCTTGACTGAAACTCATTGTACTATTATTATCAAGGCAACTCTGTATCATTATTCTGGATCATTCACGGGGCGGCGTCCCCCAAGACAGACACACAATCATTTCCCTGGCGTTCTTCTAGATAGGTCTTATACCCCCTTATTTACATGCCCAACTGGCAAGATTACACTATACCCGGTATTGCAAATGTACCGGCCAAGTATTCAACGCATTATTAAGCAACGGAATGGCAAAGCCGGTGATTCATTGTCTTGAAGCTATCAATCTGATTGTCCGTTCGTAGGGGCCTGCCCTCCCTTCTGCCGTAGTAGAAATTCACCATCCACTTATTAAATTGCAAACAGAGACCTTCCAAGCAGCGTTTCAATGTGATCCCATACCAGAGCACCCCACAATATTGGGGCGTCCTTCTAAAAGCCCCTCCATCGGCTTTACCAAACACACGACCTGTCCAACAATCTCCATCGTCCACACACGCCAAATCACCGCCCTGATTCAGGAGGATACCTCAACAACGCATCCTCCCTCGCAATGTCATCCTTGTTTCCCAGGAACTCAAAGTTCTCATCATCCAAGACGCCAATGGTATAGTGCCGCGTCCGTGTACTCTCACGCCAGAACCAACCCAATCGGAATCGGAGACCGGAGAGCTTTTCGTGGAGTTCCTTCTTGGACATGTGCTCGGCGCCTTCGGGGAGGTGGTCCATTGCGTTTGAGTCTTTGAGGAGGGCGGTCATTGCGGCTATACTGTTGTATCCATCTGGTGCAAGGCCCTCGATTCTCATGCTGAATAGTTGCGATTTCGACGAGGCCGTGCCGAGCGAATCAGTGATCAACATCAATAGACTCAGAAGTGCCGTCAAAGTCAGGATCCCTATGATTACGTAGGTCACTATCGGATCCTGGATAAGGCGGCGACGACTGAGGTTGATAACGTTGGCAGTCAGATTGAAAGGGGTTGGCGGAGGGCTGTCTTTCGAATTCTGGGTGATGTCAATACGATTCTCGAAGTTTGCTATTTGAGCCGCAAGGAACCCGTATAGGTGGTGTATGTCTTTAAGGATTTCCTCTTCGAAATTTGGGTCCCCGAATGCATCCAAAGAAAATCGACCGAATGGGGAAGACAATGTCCTAAACCAGGAGTCGAAGTACCCTGCGTAAGGGTCACTCACTGTTACTTGGGGAACTGCATCGTTGATTTGGGTGACAGCACTGGCTTTGAACTGGTCATCGATGTCTGGTATGTTGAAAGGCATGCCCCAGGGCTGAGCTCGAGACTCATCCGGTCGTGGTAAATCCCCTGGATTCAAGACAAACTCCCCATGGCGAAAGGTGAAATTGGCTTCGGTGGGCAACTCAACCCAGGAATACTGACATCTTGTGATAGAGAGATGTAAGAATTTTTCTTGTTCTTGGGAATATTTTCCCAGGGCGTAGGTCATGAATTTGGTTGAAGCCGGGATGATATCGGTATCGCGGAGACTCAAGCCGCAAGACCTATTCGCGATGCGTAGGTCCTCTGGAGAGTCTAATCCTGTTGCTAAGTATACGTAGTCGGACTTTCTTTCGCCAAGGACGAAAGCGATGGTTTGGGAGAGTTGAGCTTGACTCCCATTAGGGCAAGTAAAGCTTTCGGTGATCTGGGGCTGAACTGTGAAGTAACCGTCGGAGTCGTCGATCCGTTCCAGTTTTGTCAGGTTATAAACATCTGGAGGCACTATCCAGCAGTTGGGCTTCAGCATCGCAACTGACATGTTGACCTTGATTGAAATATTCTGCGAAGGGTCTAATCCATCGCGGGTGCCAAATGTTGGAAAGACAAGAGTATCGTACGTGTTTTTGGGGTATGTGAGAAGTCCGTCACCCCGACGAAGAACTAGGCTGCTTAGAGTCCGCCTCTTGCGGCTGAGTTCTGTAGCGTTCCTTATCTCTCCAGACCCAAACCAGGTCTTCTGTTGTAACGAGATCGTGCTCGTCTCTGGGATTGTCTTGGCGGTAAAAACAACCGAAGCCAGAGTTGTTAGCAGACCACAGATAATGGCTAAGAACTGCGTTACGGTGACAGTTCCAATATGTGCTCGAAGTGAGTGGTAGAGTACTTGTAGCCCTAACATATTCGAGAACGACATATCCATTGCTGTGACCCTACACGATTTGATAGCAAGAGCGGATAGTGTGGCCAGACCTCGGTATGTAGAGTCGAAAGAGTTGATATATAATGCAATGCTGAGCATCAAAAGTGTCGGGACAGAAGTCCACAACAGATACGCATGATTCGCCTCTTCACTCACTGTTGCGATTCCCTGGTACTCCATCGATGTCTTCAGAGAATAAGAGAGGCCCGTCGTGACGACAACGATGAGAGAAATTATGGATGCCCGTGCCCAAACTTTCAACACAAGTGGTGTAAAGTCGCAGTTGCCCCATTCGATCGCTTTGTCTTTGAGTCTAGGGCTATCTTTTGATCCTCCGTCCGAAGATCTTCTTTGATGTTGGAGAAAAATCATGTTTCCAATGACTGTGAGAAGATCTCGGTACCAAATCATAGTCATGTTTTCGAAGAAGAGAAGTACAAGAGCCACAATGAGCATTGCCAGTCCAAAAATCGTCGTCATGGATAAGCAAGTCCACTTGTTGACCATCAGCTTGGTCACTTTTGTGAAAACGGCCCCGGTTGCATTGAGATATTGGCCATCGCTGTGCCGAAGACGATAGTGTCCAATCCATGGACCAAGCATACGAGACATATCCATGACTGATCGGTAAAGCACCTCATTTGTGTATAGAGAAGCGCCCGATGAGTCTACGCCCATTCTTGACGAGTTGCCGAAAAAGCTATAGGCAGTGTCAACTGGACCCGACACCCGATTGATGTTCGATTGGTTCCAACTAATACCAAAAGGTACGGAATTACCGATAAGATCCCAAAGGTTTGCGGTGATTGGGTATCTGTTCTCGTCCGGTAATACTTCAACTAGCGGCATCGTACCGTTGCTTGACTCTTGAGACCCACAAGCCAGAAGAGCAAAGGACTGCTGCAAGATCAAAGTCCAACGACGAAGAATTGATGGTGGGTCTTTCAAAGCGAGCCGCATAAGATAAAGAGTATTTCAATTCATGAGATAGTCCTGCACATGATGTTGGTTTGATCAAAGCAGAATGGCTTTCCCAATGAGAAAAGTTTCCTATAGTGTCGCCGTAATATATGGTCGTATCCTGGAATCCAGGTATCGATAGTGGCTCCTCGCAGCTATTGAAATGTAGGTAGCTCCAGGTCTCGAACAGAGTACAGAGATAATTTGTTGACATCCTGTGTAATTTCTGAGTAGGAATAGTTTTCTAGCTTTAGACACTGCGTTTCCGTTGAAAGACCAGCCACGGTAGCTCCGATAGGTGCATCAACTGTGCCTCTAGAGCCACTTTTGCTTTTGAATGTCTGATAGGATATCCGTTCATTGACTCCAAAGGGATATCCCATGTCCAAGTTACTAATGGCTTGCGCAATATAATATGGGCTAGTATCTTGCATTCGCCACGGCGGCACAGTGGTGTTGAATGAGTCGAGAATTTCGATATCGACTGGAGTACCCGCTTCGATGGTTTGGACGCTGTACAGACCGGGAGCAAGAACGATCTGAATCTTGAGGGCAATTAAAAAGTATTGGCGACAAGAAAAACAAGATAGTGTTTCCTTCTCTAGGACTCCCTCCAAACTTTCGGCGGAAGCATTGCGGTATAATCGAGTTTGTCATTGTCAGAATTTTTAGTCGACAAACTTTCGTGACTGAAGGCAATCCATGGCATGTACCTCAGCGTTTGCGTTTCTACCCTTGACCAGCCAATGGATATGAGCGTAAGCACTGTTTAGAACGAAAATCAGCAATGGACTTAAGTTGGTACCCTTCGGCTTCTTTGGGAGGGTCACGTAGCCTTACCAGCTGTTGGGCCAAAACGCCATAGGTAAACGAGACTCTCTCGTGTTTCCACGAGTCCATTGTTTCGCAGAGATACACAAAACATGGCCGGAAGTGTGATGGTAGAAAAGAGGAAGAAGGCAAAGAATGCCAGTAACACCGCGGGCTGAAGCCATGTAGGACGCCAGGTTTTCGCGTCTTCGGAACAGCACCCGTGCTTATCTTCAGCACCCATGCCGGTAGTACTCGTGGGTTCAGTGTGGGTGGTCGAAGATATCTCCTCATTGTCTGTAGAGCGTGACATGGACGAACATAAGTCGCATGGTCCCCGGCTTTCGTCAGGCACTGTGAGACAAGGCGTCTCTTCCTCGGAGAGGCTAGACGGAAGAATGCTAAGCATACTTCGGTTGCGTTCGTTGAATAATTGTGACTTGGGGTAAGTTTCGAAGGTCTTTTCCGGATAGTATAGCCTTGTGTGCGTGCGAGTTCAGACTCATGGGGATTCTGGAGGAGCTTGTGTAATGTTGCGAGCTGGGGTGCACAACAACGCAAAGATGACAAGGACGGATCCTTGCTTCAAGAGTATTAGAAGAGAATATGTCTCTTCTATTGATGATTAAACTAAGACAGCCAAGATACACGTGATAAGGCTGACCGCGAGAGCCTCCTCCCAAGCAGAAGACATCGTTACACTGCCAAGCGATACAGCCTGCGGCTAGCTTGAACCATTTAAACCGAGGCTCACTTATGAACCATTGCCACATAAGATACGCTCCCAATACCTAGCCTTTTGGAGTATCTGACTGTTATTCAGTTCTCAAATAACTCTGTTTATGTGGCGTATCTCTGAATTGGAGTAACCGGGCTTAGACACACTTGACGTTTTGTGTCCAGTCAATGTCGGGCTAACAGTGTCGTCAACGAAGGTACCTTAGATACGAAATGGTAGTTGGCGTAAACCAAACAATACCGTACTATCTAGCCATGCCGAGAGAAGGATTTCTCGATACTAAGTTCACTGTGTGCTGTAAAATTGCAAGCAACCCGTTGCAAATCCCTGACCAGTGGAGGAAATCAGCTTCCGAGGGAAACATGGATAAAGGGAAACTGCCAGCACTGGCGCGTTACACACCTCATCTTTCTAAAACTTCGGGCAAGATCCATATCTGAGTTGAGAAAGGTTTAGAGTCTCAATTGTTTATAGTGATAGATCGACTGGCAACTTGATGCTTGCGTCTCATTCCAATAGGACACAGCTCCAAGTACATTACGGACGAAGGATGATCCATATCCGGCACCCTCTATCCCCTATTCGGCCACCGCTTAAACTTTACCCAAGCTCCGAATGGCCGTGTAGCATGCTAAATGGTGCGCAGCGCGTCGCTCCATCCCCTTACTTGCCCCCCCACTTACTCCCAAACCATCAACAACCGATTACCCCCTGTCTCCTCACTCAAACACTCTCTACATCACCGACCAACACTATCACCAGCTCATCGACCGAACGAATGTACATCACAGACTCCACCCTCGACGGCCTCGTCGCCAAAGTCCGCGAATTCCAACGCAAAGAGGGCTACGGCGTCATCAAAACCCGCTCCAAGCGCTCAGCAGGCACCAAGGAAATCTACCGCCAAGACCTGAGCTGCGATCGCGGCGGGCGCCCAAAAGCCTCCGTCGCAATGATCCGCAACACAAAGTCCAACAAGACGGGCTGCATGTGGCGCGCGCACCTGACCCTCCAGACCGACTGCTGGGTCTGCATCCCGCACAACATGGAGCACAACCACCCGCCGCTGACCGAGTCCTTTGCCACGAGCCGGTCCTTTCGCCAGCTGAGCTGGGAGGCGGCTGAGGGCGGCGTGCAGGGGATCCGGAACCGGGTGGATGTGTTGTCGAGGGGGGACCTGCCGACGGGGAAGTTGACGGCGCGCGTGATAGCTGAGAAGATCTCAGAGGAGACGGGGGCGTTGGTGAGAGAGAGCGATGTGAGGAATATCCAGGCGAGTATACGGCGGGCAAAGGCGCGGGATACCTCTGCCGGAGTTCAAAATGAAGAAGATGATGATGAGGAGGAAGAGGACGAGGAATGAAACGTTTCCTCTCATATTGTAATTGCCATCGCCTCCTGAGGATCGCCCCATTACACATGGCCTGAGAATAAGACGGGAGGTCTAATGACGGGTTGCACCGAGGTACGTCTGTACACCTGTCTGCTTTACGCCAGATGCCGTCAAACCATAAGCACGGCGTCAAGGGGGCGCATCACCAAAGTTCATACAAAGGCCGAGAATGAGCGCGAGGCCTCCCTGTATGCCCATTGTCTATATTTCCGCTTGATTCGAATCCATGGAGCTACCTTACCTACTTATGTGAAAACATCCAATTTAATTACATACAGTTGTGGACAATACTTTCTTAAATCTTCCGCTGTGATGTTGAACCAAAAGGACGGGATCTAGCAAAAGAATGATGTTGCAAACGAACAGCTAGATGTCCTGTACATCTTTGGTAATTCGCCAATGTTACCCACTCTGCGCAACACGCGAAGAGCAAGTAAAAAACTCTTCTTTGGATTACGCGGGGCGCGGAGTTGTTCTAAAACCTACTTCAACCGGACAACATTAGCTGTAGTCATTCGCGTGACTCCAGCATTGAAAAGGTTCGTGAACTCTCGGAACCGCGCGAGTCCTGCCATGTCCTTGTTCTATAAATGTATAAAGCATTCCAGGCGCCAATAGAAGCAACCATATCAATAGACATCTCACCCGACTTACCCTTTCATAGTAGGTACCTTACTCAATACTGATTACAAGCAAGCCGCCGAGAAATGAGACCAAGAAAGAGATTACGATTAGATGCTTCTCGGACGCGACTATTGATATCACTTATCATATCATCGACCTTTGGTGGAGAATGTATTATCTCGCCCACGATGATGACTGGACGTAGCACAGAACCACGAGGGCGGCCGATGACTGTTGGCCCGTCTTCTCCAATTCTGAAGAGAACGGGGTCTTTTTATATGATGTGTTGGCAGTCTCAAATTTCATGAGTTGCTAATTCACTCAATTATTGACAAAGTGTCTCTTCTATATTTCTCATCTGGCTCTCTTCTGATCTTGAATCTACAACTTGTCATTCCGGAACTCTTCGAATGTCCGCTTTGATCAGTTGATCTCTAAAATCATATATTATACACACCTCAAGTTTCAAGCCCTGCTATCCTGGGCGAACAGTCTCGGCATTGCCAGCGATATAACAAGGCAACAACTCAACACATGCACCAGCCAGTTGACCAAGAACGCTTCGCAACTCTTGAGGCTCGTATCCAGTCAACTAAACTTGCCACGATATTGCCGCTGCTTATTCTTTGGGAGACTTATTCCAGCAACGGCACCAGATGATGATGTAAACTCCTAGTCGCAGCGTGAATTCCCAAGCACTTCATGCTCACTGTCTCCGGCGCAAAAGACTTTTCGTCGTCCAGAGTGCTGCCATTCGCGAGGAAACAACCATCTTCAGAGACACCGTCGCAAGTAGGGAGATCCCCATCAACGCTTGTAGTGCTTATAAAGAAACCAGGGCTAGAATCTCTATGTGTTGCTTCGTCATATCAAAAGCACACAAAATAGGACGAAAACCTCCCCAAAACCTTTCTATTATAGGTAAGGAGCACAGATGTTTCGGGGTATCTTGCGATGCTGCACGCCAGATGGATGTGACGTAAGTTGGATCCAGTTCTTGTGAACTTAGTCTACTTCACATTAGCAAGATGCCTTTCTCCCAAAGACCGACTCACTAAATACTCACTACCTCTAACCTCCTCTAGCTGTATAAACGTGACAGAATACCCCGTGGAAACAGACGGCCGACTAGTTCTTATGGCCGTAGGTATC